AGACCTGGGTGAACTGCGCAGCTACCTTGGCTTGCAGATCACTCGGGACAGAGCACGCCGCACCATTACCTTGACTCAGTCACACATGGTGCAGCAGGTCCTTCAGCGCTTCGGCTTCACGTACTCCTCGCCTCAGGCCACTCCTCTGTCTACTCGCCACTCGCTCTCAGCTCTGCCTTCGGATGAGTCCGTAGAGTCGAGTGGCCCGTACCCAGAGCTTGTTGGCTGCCTCATGTACCTGATGACCTGCACACGACCTGACCTTGCATACCCTCTGAGCATTCTTGCACGCTATGTTGCTCCTGGGAGACACCGACCAGAGCACATGGCTGCAGCGAAGAGGGTATTGCGCTACCTGTGCAGTACGTCGGGCATGGGGCTAGTGCTTGGAGGGCGGAGTCCAGTAGTCCTTACAGGCCACGCTGACGCTTCTTGGGTTGACGACCAGGCTACGCAGCGGTCGTAACAGGGTTACACCTTCAGTCTTGGTTCCGGCTCTGTCTCGTGGCGGGCTACTCGTTCGTCTTCGGTTCTCAGCTCCAGTTGTGAGGCTGAGATCTACGCCGGGGCCATGGCTGCACAGGAGCTTCGGTGGCTCACCTACCTGCTGACTGACCTTGGAGAGCCGCCTCGTTCTCCTTTAGTGCTGTACGTAGACAACAAGGCCATGCTGGCCTTGTGTCGAGAGCAGCGTCTGGAGCACAGAACGAAGCACATTGCTCTTCGCTACTTCCTTGCTCGTGAGCTACAGCAGCGTGGACAGTTGCGGCTCGCGTACGTGGCCTCTGAGGCCAACACTGCTGATGTGTTCACCAAGGCACTCGCGCCTTGTGACCATCAGCTGGGTTTTGTGCCTGTCTTGTCTCACTTGCTCTCCTCTTGACTTTACTTGTACTGTGACATTTATATACCTGCTCTTGCTTGTCTAGTTTTTTATATATATGTCTGTAGTCCTGCATGTGAACTGGCCTCTGGCCCTGCTCTTGTGCTCGGACTGTGTGGTGACTTTGTGATCCACCCTGAGCTTGTTTTGCTTTACTTTGCTTGACTGGTCTTGTGACCCCTTGTTCTCCCCCACTTTGCCTATGGGGGTGTGTTTGATATATATGACATAGCTGCTGTAGGCTATAGTGGGGTAGCACACATGGGGTACAGCTCTCTAGGGTTTGTATTTGTACCCAACTTTCACTTAGTCATTTCATTCCTGTTCTAGTATTCTCACACGGTCCACCCGCTCCGCTTCGTGCATGTAGCCGACCTGTTCGCAAAGTGCGAGAAACCCGCTGGTGTAGTCTTGAACTGACCCGAGCTGGCGCCAAGTGCGCAGTTTCTGACGCGCCGAAATCGAGGCCGCGATCGGCTCAAAGCGCGCCCGAAGCCCTGCGCACCACGCATCCCACGTGCTGTATTGGGCGGTTTCGCAGAACGAACTCCAGGTAACAGCTGGACCCGAGGGCCCTTCCTCGTGCGACGGTGGCTCGTAGGCGCGCGGCGACGTCACAATGACTCGCCACCAGTCCATGGCGGGGCCCCTGAGTAGTGAAACCGCATACCGGATCTTGGCGGCGTCCGACTCGACGTAGTTGGCGTCGAAAAACACATTCATCGTGAAGACCCACGATTGAACTGTCGGGCCGCCGCGTTGGCTTGGGTCGAAGTAGGGCGGGCGTTGCGGCTTGAGTGTCATTGGGGCCATCATGGCGTTCTCGCCACTTGTCGCCGCAAACTCCACGTGCCGACGGGCTTCTCGGGGCTCCCGTGGGCTTAATGCGCTCCTGTTCCCTCCCATGCCGGGCATCGGTTGGGCTGCGCCGTCACTGGCTGCGCCTGAGCGCTGTCCCGTGCTGTTGTGTTGCGTTGGTGTGCCGGATGAGATGACGATGGGCTCCTCCGAATGTGCAGATGCATTGGTTGGTGCGTGTGATGTCGTCGGTACGTTCACCGTTGACTGTTGACGGGCGGAGTCACGTTCCGCTGTGAGAGTCGCGATTTCGAGCGCCGAATCCTCCAATTGACGCACGAGACGATCGAGTTGCTCCTGCGTCAACGTGACGAGATTGAAATCGGCCATGGCGGGGGTGTCGGGCAAGCTCAGCGAGAGCCTCGGTCGTGGCCGTGCGTGCTTTCGAGAGAGCACTACGAGCGGCGGTGCTGTGTTGCTGAGAGACGTTTACCCCCCCCAAAAATTGAGATAGTGGGAAGCGAAGGTGTGGATGCGGTCCGAGATGAGATCGTAGGCTCTGAATACCAAGTGTTACGAGTGCAATTGAGTGAACGAACGAGAATTGCACTATCGAAGGAAGAATACAAATGAGCGAAGGCATGAGCGAACATTATATAGCGAAACTACAGTGGTAACGGTAATGGTCGCGCGACGAGCCTGGGACTGAGGTTGGGAAAGTGTCGAAGCGTAGGTCCGGAGCGCGGGTTACCAGCCGAGCCGTGAGGTCGGGATGCGATGTGCGAAAAGGGCGGGATGATGAATGATGCGATGGTCGCGAGTGGTAACGGTGCTAACTGAGGTGCTACAGTGATGTACGCGTTGAGCAGGGACGCGAAGTAAGGAAAAGGGAATTTCCTTGCACATATACAGTCTTTCTTAAATGCATATCGTATTGGATTAGCTTTATATATAATAAACGCACCTACATCTGTTTAGTTTCCGAAACCCATTTTGGATGTTTTGTTGAAGTATGGAAGTACCAATTTTCTGTTTTAACCGCAAACTTGAAAACGGCATCGTATCCAGGCCCAACCATACACGCTGTAAACTCTGATCATGACCTCGAAGACTCCAGGCGACCACTACCTACTAATCCGCGACATCAGAAGCCTCGGGATTGTCATTGGCTCTCTTATCCTCCTCACCTCCACCTCCCGTCCGCTTCCCCTCCAGCTCTCCTCCAGCTCACCTTCAGAGAAGTCTCTACATCAGCCTTCAGAAAGCTTTATTTCTTTTACTGTGTCACTTTCGTTAGAGTCACACCATGTCCCCTTCGCCAGCTTTGCGAAGGCTGATTCCAGCAATGCTAGCAATGGCGACGCCATGCCTTGTTTGGCGCAAGACTGGCGCGGAGCGGACGCATATTTTTCAGAGAAATAGCAGCTGTACTTTTTGTTCTCAGCCACCCCTAGCTGCAGCATTAGTAGTATATTCCTCCCTGACTTCCCCTTCCAACCATGGCATGAAGTTCAGACGCGTCGCCCACGTACCAATGAACGTGACTCCTAACATTCGCAATAAACTCCAAAGCTATTCTTGGTGTCGCATCAGTCCTTTATGCGTGAACAAGCACAATAATTTCTCGATTATATACCTGACGGCAGGCGCTCTGAATAACTAAATGCAAGATTCTGTCTTCGCGGAGTAGAAATTAAGAAATATTTTGGAAAAGGCGGGACCATCTGAGACCGACACAAAAGCTGCACAAACACGTCCACCGTGAAGAAACATATTTCGGCGTTGACCGTCTGCTTGACCATCTAACCAGCGCGGTCCGACGCGGAATCGCGACATCGTCTTCACCAGTAATGGGGAGCTCGACGAGTACCAATTCCAATCGCGTAATTTCCCGCGGCAATCTCGAGAAACGGCTTCGCCTGGCGGTGATTCTGTTTCTCGCGCTGCTTCTCCAGATGGCAGGCTGGTTTGGCCCGCCGCACTTGACGGCGGCAAATGCGCAACCGTTGGATAACTCACAGGGTACGCGCGCCACGCTGTAATAACGAGCGCAATGAGTATTGAGGATCCTAGAAACGATTTTCTGTACCGAACCAGATGCATTGAACCAAAACTATAATAACCTTGTCCCTTGAAAAAAGCAGCACCTTGAAAAAGGCAGGACCGAATCCTGCAATACGCACCTAAAGAAAAGAATATGTTTCGTTTGCATCCCCCATTTCACAGAACGGGATCAAATATTCTTGTGGAGTGGGGTGGGGTGTAGTTGAATTGAGTCCCTGAGGAAGGGTTTCTGAGTTGATTGAAATCTACCTTCAAAAACATTCGTTTGATGTTTCTCTCTCCTCCTCCTCCTGCAGCACTTGCATTGGAGCAGATGCTGCTGGGGTGCTGTGCTGTTGAGTCCACTAGGGTAGGGTTTCGAAGTTTACCGAAGGTCACGTTGAAAACAATTCAGCCTATGTTTCCCTCTCCTCCTACTCCGTCCTGCAGCGCTTGCATTGGAGCAGATCTTGCTGGAGTGGGGCGTTGAGTCCCCTGGGGGAGGAACCGCTGGATGGGACTGTAGAAACGCCACGTGGCTCTCATGCACAACGGATGGCTTCGTTACAAGCATGTGAGGCTGATGTACTTTTGACTCGTTATTAGCGTGAACCTCGTGATGCACATCTCTGCACTGTACTGTACTACACTAGGCTACACTATTAGGATGTGCGAAGTACATATGAATGGATAGTCAGCAACCTGCAATGTCGTGAAAACAAATCCAATCATGTAAACAGGGCGATCATTCAACCTCCAGTGTATCCTCCGTCTCCCCAGGGGCCAGGGCCATCACTGACACGCCCATCAGCTGGTCTCTTCCAGACGCCTTCAGCGCCCTCTCTACCCTCTCCTCCTCACCCTCCTCTTCTATCCACCCCAGGGCCATCACTGACACGCCCATCAGCCGTTTCCGTTGAAATGCCATCAACCCGCTCTCCTCCCTCAAACCGAATTTCCTTTCCCCCCTTTTTCCCCACCCCCCAACCAACCAACCATCCTTCTCCCTCTTCTTCCCACCCCAGGACTATCATTGACACGCCCATCACTGGCTCTCTTCCAGACGCCTTCAGCGCCCTCTACTCCCTCACAGCACTGTAAGTGTCTTCCCCTCCCACTCCCCTCCCTCCCATTCGCACCCTGATTCGCAACACCATGCTTTGTGCTCTTGGCTTGGCCTCGCCAAGCACCTCACTCCCCTTATGTCCCGCTCCCGTGCTACCCCTCCCGCCCCTCCCTCTCCTCTCGCCCTTCCCTCACCTCAATCCGCAACACCATGCTTTGTGCTCTTGGCTTGGCCTCGCCAAGCACCTCACTCCCCTTATGTCCCGCTCCCGTGCTACCCCTCCCGCCCCTCCCTCTCCTCTCGCCCTTCCCTCACCTCAATCCGCAACACCATGCTTTGTGCTCTTGGCTTGGCCTTCCCAAGCCTGTTTTGAGACGTCTCAAAACACCCTCACCTCAATCCGCAACACCATGCTTTGTGCTCTTGGCTTGGCCTTCCCAAGCCTGTTTTGAGACGTCTCAAAACACCCTCACCTCAATCCGCAACACCATGCTTTGTGCTCTTGGCTTGGCCTCGCCAAGCACCTCACTCCCCTTATGTCCCGCTCCCGTGCTACCCCTCCCGCCCCTCCCTCTCCTCTCGCCCTTCCCTCACCTCAATCCGCAACACCATGCTTTGTGCTCTTGGCTTGGCCTTCCCAAGCCTGTTTTGAGACGTCTCAAAACACCCTCACCTCAATCCGCAACACCATGCTTTGTGCTCTTGGCTTGGCCTTCCCAAGCCTGTTTTGAGACGTCTCAAAACACCCTCACCTCAATCCGCAACACCATGCTTTGTGCTCTTGGCTTGGCCTTCCCAAGCCCCTCACTCCCCTCATGTTCCGCTCCCATCCTACCCCTCTCGCCCCTCCGCCCCTCCCTCCCTTCCCCAGCACCATACGCAACACCACCCTGGCGGGTCCTCTCCCATCTGCACTGCAGTCTCTCTCACTTCCCCCTGTGGAAGCTCCCCTCCTTTTTTCCCCTCGCCCTTCCCATCTCTCTCTCCCCTCCTCTACCTCCCTTCCTCTTGCCCTTCCCATCTCTCCCTCCCCTCCCCAGCACCATCCACAACACCACCCTGGCGGGACCTCTCCCTTCTGCACTGCAGTCCCTCTCAGCGCTGCAATACCTGTCAGTCCACTGAACTCCTACCCGTCCCCCGTCCCCAATCTATCCCCACACCATTGGAGTCCTCTCCCTTCTCCATTCAACCCAAAAATCACCCCTGGCGGGTCCTCTCCCATCTGCACTCCAGTCTCTCTCGGCGCTGCAATACCTCCCACCATAGTCAGTTCATTGCAGCCCCTCCAGTACCACCTCTTCCCCCCACCATCGGAGATCTTTCCCTTATCATTTCAACCAAAAAGTGACCCCTTTTCGGTCCGCTCCCTTCTGCACTCCAGTCTCTCTCAGCACTGCAATACCTGTCAGTCCACTTCTCCTTCTTATCTTTGGCCTGAGCGACACAAATTCCACCCCTAGTCACCCCTTGCATGTGCTCTGTCTACCGCACTGCACCTCATCCCAACGCCTTATACCCAATCTCCACCCATCTCTCTTTCCCCCACCCCACCCCACCCCACCCCACCACTTGCATGTCCCCCTGTTCCCAGCTCCATACCCTATAACAAGTTCTCCATTACCATTCCTGACTACCTTGCTTTTGATACTAGCCGCAATGACCACCCATCTCTCCTCATCTCATCCCACCCCTCGTCACCCCTTTCCACCCCCGTTCCCAGCTCCATACCCTATAACAAGTTCTCCGGTACCATTCCTGAGTACCTTGGCTCGCTGTCCGACCTTTCTTTTCTGTGAGTGCCGAGGCTGACAGTGGAATGTGGGCGAGAGGAATGGGGAACAGATTTTTTGGTTGGCATAAACGCACATGCACATGCACATGCACATGCACATGCACAAACGCATGCGCATGTCGCTTCTACCATGCTCACATAACGCATGTGTCCGTGCCCTCGCAACAGCTCATCCATCCATCCATCCATCCATCCATCCATCCATCCATCCATCCATCCATCCATCCATCCATCCATCCATCCATCCATCCATCCATCCATCCATCCATCCATCCATCCACCCACCCATCCACGTACATGCCTCCCATCCCTGCAGAGACGTGTTTTCTAATGCCTTTGAAGGTCCCATCCCCGACACGCTCACTCTACTCACCAACCTCGTGGTGCTGTGAGTACAAGTGAAGTCCTGTCTTTAGTTCACATTAGGTCACCGACCTCCTCCATCGCTACACCCGACACGCGCCCTCCATCCCTCCATCTCTACTCACCAACCTCGTGCTGCTGTACTGTACGTCTAGGGGTAAGGAAACCGCGCCCAACGTATCACTCATCTCCCACGTGTAGCGAGGTTGTTTTTGAGATGTCTCAAAAACATTCCTGACACGCTCACTCTACTCACCAACGTCGTGTTGCTGTGAGTCTAGGGGAAATCACACCTTATCACTCATCTCCCATCATTCATCTCGTATCCGTCCACTTGCCACCTCTCATCATCACCTTTGAAGGGCCGATCCCTGACACGCTCACTTTACTCACCAACCTCGTATGTTTTTTGAGAATTCTCAAAAAGCATACTCACCAACCTCGTCCTGCTGTGAGCACAAGTGAATCCTTTGCCTCTACTTCACACAAGGTCGTCTCACAGACCTGCTCCGTCCCTACACCCGACACGCTCACTCTACTCACCAGCCAACCTTGTCCTGCTGTGAGTACAAGGGAAGCCTTTGCCTCTACTTCACACAAGGTCGTCTCACAGACCTGCTCCGTCCCTACACCCTTCACGCTCACTCACTCTACTACCCAACTTTGTTTTCCTTTGTGAGTACAAGGAAAGCCACGCCTCCCATCACTCATCTTCCATCCCTCCATACCTCCATGACCCATCTCTCCCTCTCTTCGTGCTCAGCAAGATAGGCAACTGGCATCTCAACGGGTCTATTCCTGGTGATATAGGCAACCTGAAGGCGCTCACTTTCCTGTAAGCAGGGGGTTTGCAGGGATGAAGAGTGGTGCTGCAGAAGCGGGGAGGGGTGGGGAGGGATGAAGAGGGGTGGAGTGGGATGGATGGGCAAGATAGGCAACTGGCACCTCAACGGGTCTATTCCTGGTGATACAGGCAACCTGAAGGCGCTGAATTTCCTGTAAGCATGAGGTTTGCAGGGATAAAGGGGGGTTGGGGAGGGGTGGAGGAAAGGGGGGAGGGGTGGAGAGGAGAGGAGAGGGCGGGAGAGGGGTGGGGAGGGGTGGAGAGGGGTGGGTGAGGGTGGGAAGGGGGAGCTTGGAAACTGGGATCTACTTCTACTCCCACCTGGTACTCCGTGCCCCGTTGCTCTCCTCCCCCTTGTTCTTCCCCCCCCTTGTTCTCCCTTTTCCCCCTCTCTCCCCCTCTCACCCCTCCCCCCTCCAGTGAGCTGCAAGGGGTGGACTTATACGGACCCTTTCCAGAGTCCACTGCCCATCACCCAACCACCCGCCCAGCCCAATACTTTGTACCTACCTGCTCACCTCACCCCCCCTTTCCCACCCCTCTCTCCTTTTTCCCCCCTAAAGGGAGCTGCAAGGGGCGGATATGGATGGGCCCTTCCCAGAGTCCGTCACTCAACCGCCCACCCACTCATTTGTACCTGCTCGTCCCCCCGTTCCTCTCCGCATTCCCCGCCCCCCATTGATCCCAGGGAGCTGCAAGGGGCGGATATGGATGGGCCCTTCCCAGAGTCCGTCACCCAACTCACCAACCTGGAACTCTTGTAAGCATGGGTTTGTGAAATCCAGGACCGTTTTGAGACGTCTCGTGAAAACAGGAGTGTTTTGAGACGTCTCAAAACACTCCTGTTTTCACGTAAACTCACCAACCTGGAACTCTTGTAAGCATGGGTTTGTGAAATCCAGGACCTCCGTTTCTGTTGGTGCTTCTGCCCTTTGCTTCAGGGTGAGATGTTTAGGGTTACTCCACTCTTGACTTCCCACTCTCCTCTTCCCGTTTCCCTCCCCTTTCCTCCCGTGCTGTCCTATCTGCCGGTTGCTTCCTTTCCCTTGCAGCCATTTGGGTCTAACAGGCCTGCATGGCTCGCTGCCGGAAGGAATCGGCGACCTGACCAAGCTGAGCAACTTGTAAGCATTGTGAATCTGCGTGTGTAAGGGCAAAGCTGTCCCCCCTGTCCCCTCAGTGAATTGCACAGAACCTCTGTCCGTCGGGCCCCATACCATCCATTCCCCCTCAATTGAGCTGAAAGAAATCGATTCAACATTTCGTCTCTTTGCCATCCATGTTTCTTTGTCCTCCACTCTCCACTCTCATTGTCCCGGCCCCACCATTTGTGGCTCCCGTGGGATGCACAGGAACCGTCTGTCGGGCCCCATCCCATCCACTCTCGGCCAAATAAGCCAAGAGAGATTCACCAGTCATTTTGTGTATTCACCCACCCTGCTTCTTTGCTCTCCACTCTCCACTTTCTCCTTGCATCCCCCCCACAACCTTTCCTCCAGTGGGGTGCACAGGAACCGTCTGTCGGGCCGCATCCCATCCACTCTCGGCCAAATAAGCCAAGAGAGATTCACCAGTCATTTTGTGTATTCACCCACCCTGCTTCTTTGCTCTCCACTCTCCACTTTCTCCTTGCATCCCCCCCACAACCTTTCCTCCAGTGGGGTGCACAGGAACCGTCTGTCAGGCCGCATCCCATCCACTCTCGGTCGATTGACTGCCCTCGTACGACTGTGAGTATACCCTCCAGGCTTCCAACAGTGCTGATTTAATCTCCCGTTTCCCCCACACCACTCCCTGATCCCCATACCATCCACTCTTGGTCGATTGACTGCCCTCGTACGACTGTGAGTAGTGTGGGGAACATGCACCTCCCGTTCTCATTCCCATTTCTCTTATGCCCCTTCCACAGTTACCATCTGCCACACAATCACTGTACACCGTCCCTTTCTCCTTTTGAGTCGACTCAAAAGCAGACCATCTGCCACACAATCACTGTACACCGTCCCTTTCTCCCATCCCCATTTTCGTTGCCTCACTCACACCGTTCCCCATTCCACATACCATCCATTCGTCCATTGCCCCATTCTTCTGTGACCGACCGACCGCCCTCGTACTACCATAAACAGTTATTCCTCCTTCCTCCATTCCCCACACCGGACAAGCCACATTCCATTCTGAATTCTCCATTCCCCACACGTAATCCTCCCCATACCCCATCATCCATACCCCATCCACCATACCCCTACCACCACCACCCACTCCCCACTATGCCCACCAATCCCCCCCAGTGAGCTCGATGACAACAGCTTCAACGGAACCATACCGGCAGCTCATTCCTACTCTCAATTGCCACTCCCCAATCCCCATTCCCCGCACTCCCCCACAATTCCCCATCCACCACGCCCACCAATCCCCCCCAGTGAGCTCGATGACAACAGCTTCAACGGAACCATACTAGCAGCTCATTCCAACTCTCAATTGCCACTTCCCAATCCCCATTCCCCACACTCCCCCACAATTCCCCATCCACCACGCCCACCAATCCCCCCCAGTGAGCTCGATGACAACAGCTTCAACGGAACCATACTAGCAGCTCATTCCAACTCTCAATTGCCACTTCCCAATCCCCATTCCCCACACTCCCCCACAATTCCCCATCCCCCACGCCCACCAATCCCCCCCAGGGAGCTCGATGACAACAGCTTCAACGGAACCATACCAGCAGCTCATTCCTACTCTCAATTGCCACTTCCCAATCCCCATTCCCCGCTCCCCCACAATCCCCCATCCACCACGCCCACCAATCCCCCCCAGTGAGCTCGATGACAACAGCTTCAACGGAACCATACTAGCAGCTCATTCCTACTCTCAATTGCCACTTCCCAATCCCCATTCCCCGCACTCCCCCACAATTCCCCATCCCCCACGCCCACCAATCCCCCCCAGTGAGCTCGATGGCAACAGCTTCAACGGAACCATACTAGCAGCTCATTCCTACTCTCAATTGCCACTTCCCAATCCCCATTCCCCGCACTCCCCCACAATCCCCCATCCACCACGCCCACCAATCCCCCCCAGTGAGCTCGATGACAACAGCTTCAACGGAACCATACTAGCAGCTCATTCCTACTCTCAATTGCCACTTCCCAAACCCCATTCCCCGCACTCCCCCACAATTCCCCATCCCCCACGCCCACCAATCCCCCCCAGTGAGCTTGATGACAACAGCTTCAACAGCACCATACCAGCAGCTCTTGGCAATCTCGCCCTCGTCACCAAATTGTACGTCCTCCGATTACTTACCCGAAAATAATAGAGTCGTCTCAAAATATATCAACGACTCCCGTAGCTCTCCTAATCAGGTCGCCGTTGTTCCTTTCTGTGAAGCCCCTGAAGCGCCTCAAGTGCTTTGCTTTGTAAATTGCGTGTCCATTTCCTTTCCGACCCGCCGGCCATCCCTTGCTAATCTCGCCTCAACCTCCAAGTTCCAACCCCCCCGTCCCCTCCCCCTTTCCCATCCCTGCACCCGATCCCCTCCACCCTCCATTCTACCCATTCCCTCGCACAGTAACCTAAGCGCCAACCATCTCACCAGAACTGTTCTGCCATCCCCTGCTAACCTCCTCCCCCATCTCCACCCCCCATCCCCTACCCCCATCCCATCCCCCATCCTTCTTCCCCATTCCCTCCACCCATCCTCACTCTCAGTAACCGAAGCGCCAACCATCTCACTGGCATTGTGCCTTCATCCTTAGCTCACCTCCTCCCCCATCTCCACCCACCATCCGCTCCCCCCACCCATCCCATTCCCCATCCTCTCCCTCCATTCCCTCCACCCATCCTCACTCTCAGTAACCTAAGCGCCAACCATCTCACTGGCTCTGTGCCATCATCTCTTGCGAACCTCACTCGAGCTACCGTTCTGTGAGTGAGAATATTGCGAGGTGAAGTTGAAGTCGACACGACTCTTTTCGCGTAGACTCATTTCGCAGTGACCTTAGAATCAACTCATTAGATCCAACTCTTTCAACAACTCCTGTTTCCAGTCCTCCAACCATTCTCCCCTCATCCTTAACTCGCTTCAAAACTCTCACAAGCATTTTTTGCTTCCATAGCCATCCCTCCTCTCACCGCCATCCCCGCCCCCATTACACTTATCCCCCTTTTCCCAGGGACTTTTCAAAGAATCCGCTCAACGGCTCCCTCCCTCCTGCCTTTGGCGCATTGAGCAGCCTTGCAAACATGTGAGCTCCCTTCTATGCGCGTATGTGACTTTCCTTATCAGAGCGTTTGTGAGTTCCATTATGTGCTCGTATGTGAGTTCCCTTATAAGGGACTAAGTGAGCTCCTGTATAAGAACCGCACGCATAAGAAGATTATACACCCTTGTGAGAGCATATTCCTAACTTCTAGAAAGAACAAATGTATATGTGTTTCTTTTTTAAATGTTTGCGTAACATAGGGCCACTGTTCTCATCACCTCTCCAACCCTCTCCTCTCCGCCACTCTCCTCTCTACCCCTCTCCTCAGGTCTCTCTATGGCACATGGCTCGAGTGTCCCACCAACCAACCATGCGGGGTGGAGCAGACACCCCACTCGGCCTTCTGTCAGCTCTGCTCGGGCTTCTGCAAAGAGTGCAGCTCCTATGTGGGTAAGTCCCTTGTGTGCTGAAAGAACAGCACAGCACAGCACAGCACAGCACAGCACAGCACCGCACAGCACAGCACAGCACATCACAGCACATCACAGCACAGCACATCACAGCACAGCACAGCACATCACAGCACAGCACATCACAGCACATCACAGCACAGCACATCACAGCACAGCACATCACAGCACAGCACAGCAGAGCAGAGCAGAGCAGAGCACAGCACAACACAGCACAGCACAGCACAGCACAGCACAGCACAGCACAGCACAGCACAGCACAGCACAGCACAGCACAGCACAGCACAGCACAGCACATAAACTGGTTGTCCAGTTGGTTACTCGTGACAGACAGTCCAGGCTCTCACTCACTCGGCCTTCTGCCAGCTCTGCCCTGGCTGCTGCAGGCTCTGCTCCTCCTACACAGGCGAGCAGATAGTATTGCAGGGGAAAATGTGTTGGACTCTTTACCTTTGTTTTCATTGTTTCTGGTCCACCTGTCTTGTTTGTCTGTCCCACTGTTCCCCAGCTGATGTCTGCAGCACTTTTGAGAATTCTCAAAAGCGTTTCTGTTCCACCTGTCTTGTCTGTCTGTCCCACTATTCCCCAGCGGATGTCTGCAGCACCTTCCCTGTCAACCCCTGCGGCCTGGGCACTTGTGTTTCAAATGCCAACAACAGCAGCAGTGGCAGCAGCAGCAGCAGCGGCACCATCAATAGCAGCAGCAGCCTAAGTGTCAGGAGCAGTAGCAATGGTATCATTGCTAGCAGCAGCAGCAGCACTGGCATCAACTCCAGACGCAACAGTATCAAGGCCAGCAGCAGCAGTGGTAACCCTACGGGTTACACCTGCACCTGCCCAGCAACCACGTACCCAGGCACTCTCCCTGATGGCAGTGCCACCTGTGTCCCCAAGACCATCTCCCCTTCCCCACCCTCCTCCCCCTCCCCTCCTCCTACCTCTCCTTCCCCTCCCTCCTCTCCATCCCCCTCCCCTCCAACCTCCCCCTCTCCTTCCCCACCCACGAAAGCCCCCCCTTCTGCCTCTCCACCCTCTCCTCCCTCCTCCTCCCCCTCCTCCTCCTCTGACTCCTCTTCTCTCTCGCTCGGAGTGATTGTGGGTGTAGCGATCGGAGCAGGGGCGCTTGTCATTGCTTGTCTCGCCCTGATTTGCATCCTCGTCAAAGGCAGACCCACTACAGGGCCCAGCTCAGCCGGTGAGTTTACCAGACCTCTTCCACCTCTCCTCCTCTCTTCCTCGTTACAGGCAGATCCGATACAGGGCACAACCAAGCCTAGGACCCCCCTTTCTTCCCATATATGATGTGTTACAGGCGACGGACAGCTGGGCGAGCTACAACCTCTTCTGAGTCAAGCCTATGCTCCCCCTCTCCCCTATGTCTACCCCAGTCCCAGGCCTTATCCGGCGCTACAGCTTGAGTGAGGTGCTACAGGCGACAGACAGCTGGGCGAGCTACAACCTCTTCTGAGTCAAGCCTATGCTCCCCCTCTCCCCTATGTCTACCCCAGTCCCAGGCCTTATCCGGCGCTACAGCTTGAGTGAGGTGCTACAGGCGACAGACAGCTGGGTAAGCTACAACCTCTTTTGAGTCAAGCCTATGCTCCCCCTTTCCCCCATGTACACCCCAGTCCCGAAACTATTTCGGCGCTGCAGCCTGGCAGAGGTGCTACAGGCGACGGACAGCTGAGCGAGCCATTGTTGAATCTGCTGTTGCTGCTGCCTACTCCCCCCATCTGCCCCAGTCCCAGGCCTGTTCCGGTGCTACAGCCTGAGTGAGGTGCTACAGGCGACGGACAGCTGGGCGAGCTACAACCACCTCGTTCAAGTGAACCCATCCCTTCACCTTCCCCTGTCACATCCCTCTTTCTCAGTCCCAGGCCTGTTCCGGCGCTACAGCCTGCCAGAGGTGCTACAGGCGACCAACAACTGGGCGAGCTACAACCACCTGGGCAGCGGAGGCTACGGGGACGTGTACAAGGGTGTGCCGCCCAGTGCGAGAGTGGGCGGCGGAGGGGGCGGAGTGGGCGGAATGGGGGGAGTGGGGGGAGATAGTGGTGAAGCAGGCATGACAGGGGCGAGTGTGAACGTGAGAGGGAGTGGGAGGGGAAGTGGGAGGGGAAGTGTGTGGGGGAGTAAGAGAGGAGGGGGTGGAGAGGGGGAGGTGGGGATTACAGTGGACGCGGGAGAGCCTCAGGTGTGGGCGGTGAAGCAAGCCAAGATACGCACCAACGACTTCCACAAGGAGGTGAGCTCGCTAAACTCTAAGTCCTAGACCTTAAAGCCTAGACCTGCCTAGACGTTAGACACTAACCCTAGGAGGCCGGGGAGCCTCAGGTGTGGGCGGTGAAGCGAGCCAAGATACGCACCAACGACTTTCACAAGGAGGTGAGTCAGCAATCGGAGCGGCGTAGGGAGAGGAACGGACGAGGGGCAGGGTGGGGATTGCAGTGGGTGGGGAGGAAAGGGATGGTCGGACCACGTGTGTTGACTTTTGAGGCGCCTAAAGAAAAAGTGGGTGGGTGGGGAGGAAATGGATGGTCAGGCCTCGTGTGTTTCTTGGTCTCTTGCATCCTTACCGCTCCCCCTTTGTTCTCCCCCCCTCTCATCCATTTAATAGGTAGAGCTGATGGCGAGCAAGCATTACCCCCATCTCGTCCATCTGCTAGGGTACTGCGTCACAACGGACGCCAAGACGCACTCCTTACCCCCTGAACCCAAATCAACCCTTTTCCCCACCCCCATCCCTCCACCTGCACAGGTAGAGCTGATGGCGAGCAAGCATCACCCGCACCTGGTGTGGCTTCTAGGGTACTGCGTCACAACGGACGCCACGACGCACTCCTTACCCCCTGGGGTACACAACGGACGCCAAGACGCACGAGCAGGAGCAGGCCACGTGTGCCGTTTAGAGTCTCGAATCCGGTCCCATGTGCCCCCATGTGCCCCTCACGGTGTATCTGTGTCCCCTTTCACAGGTAGAGCTGATGGCAAGCAAGCATCACCCCCATCTCGTCCGCTTGCTGGGGTACTGCGTTACAACAGACGCCAAGACTCACTCCTTACCTCTTGCCCCCAACTACCCTCCAACTACCCCCCTTTTCCTTTTTCCCTTTTCCCTTTTCTCTTTACAGGTAGAGCTGATGGCGAGCAAGCATCATCCCCATCTCGTCCGTCTGCTGGGGTACTGCGTTACAACGGACGCCAAGACGCACGAGCAGGAGCAGATCATCATCTATGAGTTCATGGAGAATGGCGATTTGGAGCGTGTGTTGAAGAGTGAGCGACGCTCTGCATGTGGTTATATGTGTGTTTTTGAGTCGACTCAAAAGTCACCTTGTATGTGTGTTTGGACGCGTCTTAGCAGTGGTCGGTACGTAGGATAGGAGCACACGAGCAGGAGCAGATCATCAGCTATGAGTTCATGGAGAATGGGCACTTGGAACGAGTGTTGAAAAGTGAGTATACGTGTGTATGCATGTCTGTGTGTGCACGCTGTCTCGGAAGTGGTCTGTGAGTACATAGGAGCACACGAGCAGGAGGAGATCATCAACTGTGAGTTCACAGAGAATGGGGACCTGGGGCGCGTGCTGAGAGGGGTCTGATTCCTTCATAGCTCAGCATTGATGTCTCTGACTCCCCTTCCTCCCCTCTCCCGCCCCACCTCTCCCCAACTTACTGATCAGACCTCGCCGCACGGCCCGTGAGCCTGCAGCAGCGGCTGGAGATGATGATCGGAGCAGCGAGGGGCCTGGAGTACCTACACAGCTTTATATTGGTGTCTCTGTATTTTGAGGCGTACTTTGAGGCGCATTTTGAGGCGTGCTTTGAGGCGCATTTTGAGGCGCCTCAAAGTAGGAGCAGCGAGGGGCCTGGAGTACCTACACAGCCCCACAGGGTCATTCTTCCGGCCCTTGTTTACCCACCTCCCGTATCCCACCTTCAGACCTCGCCTCACGGCCTGTGAGCCTGCAGCAGAGGCTCGAAATGATGATTGGAGCAGCAAGGGGCCTGGAGTACCTTCACAGCTTCTCCATGGTGCATCGGGACGTGAAACCAGCCAACATTCTGTTAGACGGCAACTGGCAGGTATGTGTGTGTGCGTTCAACAACCAACACCACACCCAGCATCGCACCTATCAGCACAAGCAGCACCACAACCAGCAGCCAGTGGCCTGGAGTACCTTCACAGCTTCTCCATGGTGCATCGGGACGTGAAACCAGCCAACATTCTGCTGGATGGCAACTGGCAGGTATGTGTGTGAGAGTCAATTGGTACATACATGTTGTTGTTTTATACCACCTAACACTGAGGGGCCTGGCGTACCTTCGTAGCTTCTCAATGGTTCATCGGGACGTGAAGCCAGCAAATATTCTCCTGGATGGCAACTGGCAGGTGCGTGTTGGTACATTGTGCCGATGCTGCTGTGCTAGGTGCGAGTTCACACCTAGCACTAAGAGGCCTGGAGTACCTTCACAGCTTCTCCATGGTTCATCGGGACGTGAAACCGGCCAACATTTCTGTTATATGGCAACTGGCAGGTATGCATGTGTTGTGTGAGGTACTCAGCAGCGAGGGGCCTGGAGTACCTTCACAGCTTCTCCATGGTGCATCGGGACGTGAAACCGGCCAACATTCTGTTAGATGGCAACTGGCAGGAACATGTGTGTGCATGTGCAACACTCCTCTCAAGTCCTCATCTAATCTAAACTCTGTGGGTGGGGACAATAATACACATCACAACCATCAGAAGAAGTAGCGACTGCTCACGCGTAATCGCCGACATGTCTTTTTTTTTCTTCGTCTTCTTTTCTCTCGCCTGTTTTTCTCCTCTCAACCGAACCCCATTCGCCTGAATCTTCTTCCACAGGCCAAGATAGCTGACTTTGGGCTGACCAAGGTGGGAGAGGGCAATGCATACAACCCTCAGGACCGCATACTCCACTCAACTTCTGTCTCGTGATTCTAGCTTATCTTGCATGTTCTCGTCTGTTTCTCCGCACCTTTCTCTTGTCCTTTCCTTTCCCTCCCACGGGCCAAGATAGCTGACTTCGGGCTGACCAAGATGGGAGAGGGCAATGCATACAATCCCCAGGACTCCACTCGAGTACTGTCTCGTGATGCTAGCTTAACTTGCATGATCTCTTCTGTTTCTCCCCTCCTGCCCTTCCCCTTCCACAGGCCAAGGTTGCTGACTTCGGGCTGACCAAGATGGGAGAGGGCAACGCGTACAACCCTCAGGACTCCACTCGAGTGCTCGGCACGCCAGGCTATGTTGACCCTGTGTATGGCCGCACACGCAAGGCCACCCCTGCTAATGACGTATTCAGGTGGGAACGATGTGTGATGTGATGTGTGATGTGATGTGTGATGTGCGTATGCCTTGTTGTTTAAGGAGCATCAGAGCACGCAAAGAGTGCTCGGCACTCCCGGCTATGTGGACCCTGTGTATGGGCGCACCCGCAAGGCCACCCCTGCCAAGGACGTATTCAGGTGGGAACGAACGATTTGTGATGTGTGGGGTTACTTACCGAAAGTGTAACGTACTAATCACGCCGGGCTATGTTGACCCTGTGTATGGGCGCACACGCAAGGCCACCCCTGCAAACGATGTGTTCAGGTGGGTATCTGTTCACGGGAATCTGTTATGCGATGTATGAACCAACATCTGGCGCGTATCAGCACCAAGAGTCGAGTGCTCGGCACTCCCGGCTATGTGGACCCTGCGTATGGGCGCACCCGCAAGGCCCACCCCCCAAACGACATGTTCAGGTGGGTTATGTCCAGGGACCCAGAGAGGACCAACTCAGGTGAATTCGAGTTCTAAGACATCGATAAATTGATTTAAGTGTAATTTGCTGGGCCCACCAGGATTTGCGTCTTCCTCTGTATCGGCCCCTCCACCTCCCACCATCCTCTCTACCCTTGCTCTCGTTCTCCCACCGTGCTCCATGCTTCCTCTTGGCAGTTTCGGCATCGTGATGCTCGAGCTTCTGACGGGACGAAGGGCCATTGTGTCAGTGTCTAAAGATGACGACCCGATCAACATCAGCAAATGGGTAATGGGTTTACCAGTAATAAATGTGCTACTTCATGTGACATTGCATTCCATTTTTTATTGATCACCCCGTCATGGTATCACCTGTTCAGACCCCCCAGCTTCCTTCCCTACCAACCTTAATTCTTTCAATATGGCGATGTTTTTTCACGCTTCCATACAGGCTGCCCCACTAGTGGAACGTGGCGAGGTAGCTGCATTCAAGGACCCTCATCTAGATGCTCCCGATGACGTCATTCTTCGACTCGCACGGCTCGCCATGACATGCACGGCCACTCCGGCCATGTCCCGGCCCCGGATGGTCAAGATAGTGGCGGATCTTGAAGGGATTAAGGAGGAGATGTTCAAGTATGGCACGATGATGTTCGAAGAGGAGCCTGCAGTGCCGAATCAGTCGTTGACTCAAGCCATTTCGCAAGTTGAGGTTATTCTGAGTGAAAATGCCAATTTGAGTGATAAATCTAGCTCGTAAATTAGCTGTTGGGTGGATGAACATGGTGCTCATGTTTAAGCTAGTGTCCGTCTATACAACAATTCGAAATATATCACACCCCCATCTATCCACAAGTGCAAGTGCATTTTGAATTAATGTGGGATACAGTGGAATATACTTATTATTTGAGGTAGTATCACTTGTTATATGCTACACCTGAATAGGTTATATGCACTTCCTCCTAGCTTTACTGGAGGCTAGCCATAACAATTGGCTTATCCGATCACGTGGCGAATCCTTCGTGGAAATTAACAAAACCACGTGGTTTTCTGGAGACTTCGCACGCACTGTACTGTACAGTGCTGTGAACTGGCTTGTGGATAACTTTGAGGGCGGCGCCGGAAGGGTAAGCTTTCGGCCATACAGGCAGGCAGGCACTGCCTTGGTTACCTGCTGCCTCAGCCATTTCCTGCGCCGAGGCGCAGCTGAGGCAGCAGCTGAGCATTGCGCACTGATGTGCGGAAGAATGCCAAACTGTTCCGGTAATTACGATGGCTAGCCAATCACGAGCTTACCTTAGGGCTGCAAACAGCGTGGAGATGCGCGATGCTGAGCTGGAGTTTGATGTGAAGAGTGATCGCAAAAGCACTCCGAAATTGCCTTCGTGGACCGCGCCACAAAGATGAATGCGGCCCGAAATTCCAGCGCGCACATCCACACTCAAATGTCTGTGCGAATCTCCGCGACACCGCAGACTCTTACCGACATCGCAGGAAAAGTAACCCCAAAGAAACTGTTGTAGATTCCCAAGACAACTTAGCAGAGGGCAATCCTGCGAGCTCTGGTTACCTTTTAACGAAATTAACGACGTACCAAGAAACCTCTTGACATCCAATCGAAGGCACATTTGGCATGCACTCCACATGAGCGACGGAAGAATTACTGTTGTTCCTCCGTCGCAATTCGCCCCGCTGTGTAGGAATTGTAAAAGTTGGCAATGTCTGGACTGGACATGTGAATGTCGAAGAGTGGCAATTTCGGGGTCTGGAAGTCTATAAATTACTTCAGCAGTTCCTCACAAGTACCTCACCTTCCTGCGTTTTCCGTTTGATATCTTCCTTCCCGCGAGTGCTTGTCGAAGCATTTGCTTCCGTCAGTGTACGGAAGTTCCTACTCGCTCTCTCTCCCCGTTTTCTCTCGCCTCCTGCAACAGCAACGCTCGAGCTTCGCTCCGTCGGGAGCCTGCCGCGAACTTGACGATAACCGTCAATCCGGTCCAGACAACCGTCAAGATGTGCGGAATTCTCGCGGTTCTTGGAGCTGCTGATGCTTCGGCTCGCACCCGAGCAAAGGTCCTCGAGTGCACCGCGAGGTAAGCCCACATTGACGCCACCTTTGTCATTCTATCAGTGACTCCGAATGTCGCATTAAGCCTGATGTTCGCTTCCCTCCCGTGCTTTCGACCATGTAATTGTACATTATGTTTTCGGCTGTGATCTCACATATTCAAGGCCACACCGAGTCTTAATTCCAGGAGACACGTGCGTTCCGCGCCAGAATTTGCCAGTGCGCTCAATCGCACATCGCAATGCCATCTAATATTTCAAGAATTCCTTAAATGGCCCCATGCCACGTTTACCCGGCAGGCTGCGCCACCGTGGACCCGATTGGAGCGGCGTGCACACGTTCGGCAATAACTTCCTCGCGCACGAACGGCTAGCCGTCATCGACCCGGCGTCCGGGCACCAGCCGTTACGCAACGAGGACGGCAGCATCGTGGTGGCCGTCAACGGCGAGATCTACAACTACCAGCAGCTGCGGGATGAGCTAAAGGACCGCCACACGTTCAACACCGGCAGCGACTGCGAAGTCATCGCGCATCTCGTGCGTTTTTAATATGGAATGAGTGATTGGCATTTTACCTGCTCATAATTTGTTACTTCAATCCTAATACACGTTTGCAATATTGTATTTTTTTTCGTGTTTCCTCGTTTATACATTTGCCCGTTAATCCGAGTTATTACACTTTTCCACTTGGACCCCCTCCTTCAATATATCTCTCCGTATAATTTCTTGCAATGATTTCGAAAAGCTGACATTCTGCAGAAATGAGGCTCCCTTCCCAGTAATATTGAAGACGTTGGACGGAAACGTTCTGCTGCTCTGCTCAAGCACTACTAGCTCCTAACAATTTGCGATGTCTATTATTTCTTCACCACCCTTTTCCAGTATGAAGACGCGGGAGAGCAAGCCGTGCAGAAGCTGGACGGAATCTTCGCGTTCTTGCTGCTCAACACAAAGGACGGCTCGTACATCGCGGCGCGCGACCCCATCGGCGTGTGTCCACTCTACATCGGCTGGGGTCGCGACGGCTCTATGTGGTTCGCGTCAGAAATGAAGGCTCTTAAAGACGACTGCGAGCGCTTCGAGACGTTCCCGCCCGGCCATATTTACTCCAGCAACGACCGTGAGTCTTCTGCCTCCAAGCTGTTTTTTTTGTTTGTTTGCTTCTTTCCTGAATTTCCTCCTGTTTATATAACCATTTTGTACTCTCTTCTTTTGCAGCTCCTAATTTCCTGTTTTTCTGTTCTTGACCGCCAGACACCCTCCGTCGCTGGTACAATCCCGCGTGGTACGACGAGCACATCCCCTCCGCGCCGTACGACCCGCTCGCGCTGCGCGCCGCGTTCGAGAAGGCCGTCGTGAAGCGGCTGATGACGGACGTGCCGTTCGGCGTGCTTCTATCGGGGGGCCTCGACTCCTCGCTCGTCGCCGCCGTCGCGCAACGCCATTTGGCGTCTACGGAAGCAGGGAAGCAGTGGGGCCCTCAGCTTCACTCCTACTGCATCGGTCTAGAGGTAGGACACCTGATATTTTTTATGATTGGCCATTTTTTTATTTTTCTTTTTTTTTCAACAATCGTTGCTACGTCAACTCTACACCTTGTATTCATTCTTTTTGTCCTACATCATTTTCCATCCTTCCACTTCTTCCCATTTTCAGAATGCCCCTGACCTGCGGGCAGCGAAAGAAGTCGCGGATTACATCGGAACAAACCATCACGAACTACACTTCACTGTACAAGAGGGCATAGACGCGATTTCCGAAGTGATTTACCACACGGAAACCTACGACGTCACAACAATCCGCGCCAGCACGCCCATGTTTCTGCTGAGCCGCAAGATCAAGGCGCTGGGGGTGAAGATGGTGCTATCTGGGGAAGGTAGCGACGAGGTGTTTGGGGGTTACCTGTACTTTCACAAGGCGCCCAGCAAGGAGGAATTTCACGTGGAGACGTGTCATAAGGTGGGGGAGAATGTGTGGGGTCTGTGTGAGTGTGTGTGAGTTTGTTGTTAGGGTTGGGTGTGTGGGTGGGTGGGTGGGTGTGCCTATGCCGTAATCCATTCATTTCACTGCTTGTTTCTTGTCTGCCCCTGTCCTGACCACCAACTAAAGACTTCCCACCCCTGCACCGCTCTCAACCCAACCCCTTCGCTCCAACCAGCTCAAGGCACTTCACATGTACGATTGCCTGAGGGCCAACAAGGCCACGTCAGCATGGGGGCTGGAGGCGCGCGTTCCCTTCCTGGATAAGGAGTTCCTTGACGTGGCAATGAGCATTGATCCTCAGTATAAGATGATTCGCAAAGAGGACGGCCGCATTGAGAAGTGGGTCATCCGACGAGCCTTCGACGACGAGGAGAAGCCGTACCTTCCCAAGGTAAATTGAAGCCTCATTCTTTCTTATCACAAAACACGCGTTCTTATCACTCCGCTAGTCTCTCCCCTGACCAGCATTGAGAAGCGGGTCATTCGACGAGCCTTCGATGATGAGGAGAGGCCGTACCTTCCAAAGGTAAATCAAAGCCTAACCTGCCTCTCTATTGCATCGCATGACACTCCCCTAGTCCCCCTTTACCCACAATGAGAAGTGGGTCATCCGGCGGGCCTTCGACGACGAGGAGAAGCCGTACCTTCCCAAGGTAAATTAAAGCCTCATTCTTTCTTATCACAAAAAACGCATTCTTATCACTCCGCTAGTCTCTCCCCTGACCAGCATTGAGAAGCGGGTCATTCGACGAGCCTTCGATGATGAGGAGAGGCCGTACCTCCCCACGGTAATCAAATCCTACCTCTCATGTGCCGAATCTACCCGAGGTAACCCGGACCTACCTCTCATGTGCCGTACCTACCCGAGGTAACCCAAACCTACCTCTCATGTGCCGTACCTACCTACCCGACATAACCCAAACCTCCTTTCCTGCTCCCATCCCCTTCTGTTCGTAGTGCTGCTACCCATCTCTTCTCCCATCTCTGCTCCTCCCTCTCTTCCCTTCCCCTCTTTCCCTCCTCCCTCCTGCCCCTGCCTCCCCCACACTTGTCCCCTTTACCAGCATATCCTGTACCGCCAGAAGGAGCAGTTCAGCGATGGCGTGGGGTACAGCTGGATCGATGGTCTCAAGGCGCATGCAGAGAGGATGGTATCGGATCAAATGATGGCCAACGCTCCCAACCTATTCACTCACAACACGCCCAAGACGAAAGAAGCGCTGTTCTACCGCCTCATCTTTGAGAAGCACTTCCCCCAGGTGAGGCTCTCCACTCCTCTCCACTCCTCTCCACTCCTCTTCACACCTATTCACTCACAACACGCCCAAGACGAAAGAAGCGCTGTTCTACCGCCTCATCTTTGAGAAGCACTTCCCCCAGGTGAGGCTCTCCACTCCTCTCCACTCCTCTCCACTCCTCTCCACTCCTCTTCACTCACAATACGCCCAAGACGAAGGAGGCGCTCTTCTACCATCTTTGAAAGCACTTCCCCCAGGTATGTGCCAATGGCCCACACCTCTTCAAACCGCTTCCAACCTCTTCACGCACAACACGCCCAAGACCAAGGAGGCCCTGTTCTTTGAGGGATTTCACGTCTTAACACACACATCTTCATACCTGTTCATCTATTCATGGCAGCGGCTGTAGCATGGGATGTTTCCTCGCGGAATAGTTCTGATCACCTCACCCCGTCAACTGAGATGATTTTTGAGGCGCCTCGAAAATTTTTAGGCGATTTTTGAGGCGCCTCAAAAGTGGCTGTAGCATGGGATGTTTCCTCGCGGAATAGCTCTGATCACTTATTCACCCCGTCCGCTTCCAACCCACCCTCTCTCTGCCACAGCTGTCTGCCCGTCTCACTGTTCCTGGTGGTCCCAGTGTCGCCTGTAGAACGGCGGCGGCTGTAGCATGGGACGCTGTCTTGACTTCCTGCCACTTCCCCACTTCCCCCCTTTCTCTACTACAGCTCTCTGCTCGTCTCACTGTGCCCGGAGGCCCCAGTGTCGCCTGTAGCACAGCGGCGGCTGTAGCGTGGGATGCTGCCTGGCAAGGCAACCTGGACCCTTCTGGCCGAAAAAAATGTCCACTCAATCCCTTTCCCCTTTTTCCACCCCACAAAATCCCTGCTGCAGCTGTCTGCTCGTCTCACTGTGCCTGGGGGCCCCAGTGTTGCCTGTAGCACAGCGGCGGCTGTAGCATGGGATGCTGCCTGGCTGGGAAACCTGGACCCCTCTGGCCGTGCTGCTCTGGGCGTGCATGCTGCTGCTTATAACGAGGATGCAGGTGGTAACCAGAAGGCTGGTAACCGTGTGACAACGTGTGTGGAGCAGGCTGGAGTGGTGGTGGGGGGTGGGAGCGGTGGGAAGAGGAGTCAGGGGGAGGAGGGGGGGCAACCAGAGTCGCCTCCTAAGAAGAAAAAGACGGACCTTGTGATGCCGTATCTGGCTGTAGCATAAGCTGTAGCCGGTCGGAAGCATGCCTAGGCTGCTGCTAAAGCCATACCATGCATAAGCTGTAGCAGGAGGCACCACCTGCACGGGTGGTGGTGCTGTGTCTGCTATGGTCCAATTTTGACCCGAGGGAAATTGTCCAGTCCAGCCCAGTTTTGATCTGCAAGTGTGATGGTTCAGTTTTGACCTGGTAAGGTGTGCACACCTCACCTCACTTCAGTTTTGATATCTTCTTTTTGTTTCTTGTCTTGTATATCTTCAAGCTAGTACTGTACTCTCGCGATTGCACCATTATGTATGGCAGTAACTACCGGGCACATGCTCTTTCTTGAGGCTGATATTTGCTGGTTGACAAAGCAGCTGAGCTGCAATTGCCTTATTCCACAGCATACAGTAATAGCACAGATCATTCTCCCTCTCCATCTTCACACTCACTTAAAATGTTAACTCAGCCGCTCTCAAGAGTTATGGTAACTCAGCCTCACTCAGAGTTGACTCAGCCTCACTCAGAGTTGCCAGCCTCACTCAGAGTTGACTCAGCCTCACTCAGAGTTGACTCAGCCTCACTCAGAGTTGACTCAGCCTCACTCAGAGTTGCCAGCCTCACTCAGAGTTGACTCAGCCTCACTCAGAGTTGACTCAGACCTCTCTCAGCCCGACATGCTCCCTCATGATATACCCAGCCTTACATTCTCTCACTCTCAGCCGTTCATCCTCACTCATAGAGGCGACTCAGCAGCAAGTCTACCGTCAATGTCAGAAATGAGCCATCCATCCTGCCTTACATCGTCTGCTCCCTTCCCATCCCATGCCTTTCGCACAGTAAGATGTGCAATGATTCCTTTCAATGCGCAAAACTTCAGCATATGGGGTGTGAAAGATGAGGAAGCAGGAGGCCGGACAGACCATGGCTGCTGCAGCTCAATACACGACGAATAAAAAGATCACCTTGCTCATAGTACTTCATCCATTCTTCTCTTTCCAATCTGGCGATACGCTCCTGCCTGTCATACCAGCGACTACGGCGTGATTGTGAAGTCGGACCGCTCATTTTTATGCTTCAATCCTTTCAACCTTGCTCGTACTTACGATCTGCTTATACTTACGGTCTGCTGTCGGCTCCTCTTCCCTCCTATCATACAAACGACAGCTCAGAGAACGCGAAATCGGGATACTCTCGGCTACTCACAAATCGGCGTGTTAACCCGCAGCGAGCTAGCGCGGATCACGCCGCGCGTGCCGGCTCCATCATCGTCGGCGAGGAGACTAAGGTGCTGCGGTAATTCGTCAGGAAGGAGTGCACGAATGATAAGCACAAGTACATCGAAGCTGCAAGTAAACAATAATATCAGTCCACGGCGAAGAAGAGGATTGTTTGGCTGTTCAGTGAATGGCGTTGCTGGACTTCGCGCCACTAGGGTTTGTTATCTTAGCTGCAGTAATTGAGAAGAGTAGTTTTCGTCGCCAGCCAGAAACTTGTAGCTATAAAGTACAAGCCAAAGTTAAAACGCGAAGTCATCGAAAAACTATACTTGAATGCAGATTTACAAGTCCTAGCTGATGCGCTAAAGGCGTTGCTAGGAACACGCTCTAAGAAGGTTTAAAAGCAGTCAACCGCGAGCTTGTACAAGTACGAACGCCAGCAGCTTCAGATCCTCAGCTCCTCGCCCTTCGGTTTTAAAGGTTTAAAGGTTTTTATTAGGTCGTGACCTTAATACAGACATGCATCAAGATGAGGATACAGGCTAAGCCAAGCTCCCCGTAGGGAGCACGTGTAAGCACGTCATCCTCCTGCTACAGGAGCAGAGGTGTCCAGGGACAAATATCTTGCTGACATGTGGCAAGGGTGGAGAGTCAGATCACGGAGGGTGAAAGATGTCGTCGAGCAGCCAGGTGGCACGCAGATCGGGGTGAATGATGGGCATGTCATCGTCGGTGAGCTGAAAGAACCGATATGAATGGGCCAGCTTGGCAATACGCTTGGCTTTGGCCTGCTTCTTCTTCGAGCCTTTGGAGCAACGCCATAGTAAAACCTCGCCCTTCGGATGCTTGAAACGACTTGGAAGTTCTTCAGATCCGAACACCTCAGCGGAATTCGGTCGACGGAGCCGAATTGCCAGTGTCGTCGAGGGGGGTCGTCGAAGCCTGGGCTGACGGGGCGGAGCACAGACGCGCGTGCGGGCCCGCCAGCCTGGCCCAGGGCTGGGCCGAGCGCACGACCGCCGCCCCACAGCCCCGCCCCGAATGTGAACAGCGGCCCACGTTACCGGGTGGGGTCGGCGAACTGGCGACACCTCGCGCGTGGGAAAATTACCCTCGCGCGAAGGCAGCCCACACGCGCCACCTGCCCGCGAGGTCCTAGTAACCCATCGCGGCCTGCCCGACGGGCAGGCGAGGGCCGGGCGAAAAGTCGGGGCCCCCTCGGGACACTCGACAACTTCGCGACCCGTTGCGGCGACGCCACGTGTTCGCCCGCCTACTTCGCATCGGGCAACATGCACAATTTGATACATTGCGAATTCAATTCGGGACATCGCGAATTCGATGTCGATCGCTTCGCGGCGCACGTTTTTCGCTTCGGGGCGTGACATCGACTTGCTGGCTCGGCGGCGAATGAGGACTTGTGCCACTTGTGCACGACCCCGCCAAACCCCGCCGAGGCAGGCACCACGAGGGCCGGGCGATGCCTCGACCGTTCCTGTGGGGCACCGACCCCCTTTTCTTGGTGGAAGGGGGCATCGCTCCTCATTTTCGGCATCTCGTTTCCCTTTCCACCTTTTCCCCAGCTCTGCGCCTTCTCCCACATTTCACGTCCCTTAGCCGCTTCCCTTCCCCGCCATGTCGGCCGCCCCGAAACTCGGCGAAGTGACGCCGACTTCGCAGGACTTCCCTCTGTATCTCGACCTGGGTAGTGGACTCACTGCCAAGCTCGACGAACACGACTACGCCGTCCTCATAGACCATAGGCTAGAGTTCAACGCCCGTTGCTTGGGATTCGGCCTCAAGTGAGTGTCCGTATTGGGATGTCGACGTCGACCGCTGGATACCTTGCAGGTCGACGTAAATAGGGTTGTCCCACGTTAGGGTTTAGATCACTACTCGGTGACGCACACAGCCGTAGGTAGGCATCGTACTCCGATCACTACAGTAGGTCGGTGCCCGCATCGGTAGGCGCCATTGATTACAACGTAGCGACGGTGGTGCACCGTTCTACTATCGCCATCCCCGTCAGTTGTCGGTTCCAGAACCCACGTGTCCATCCGTCGTGCCGTGCACGTCCTCAAACACATCTACTACCCATGCATGCGTGCAGGTACGCATGGATTCGCGCGGCGCCGGCCAACATGCGATTGTGGTCGATAGGACTCGGCCGGCTTCGGGCGGCGATGGGCAAGGAAGACCACTCATGCTTTGCAACGGTGTTCGACGCCGACGTAGCTGTTATCCCTCTGCATTCGAGGTGAGCCTAAGTCATGATGGTGTGCCATGATGCCTATGTCGCTGCTCCGTTCTGATCGACGTCGTGGTGCCTAGCCTGTGCAGCATCGCACCGCTTCCAGGGGCACATTGCAGCGTCGTGGTCATCCTGTACCCCGGCGACTTGTTGCGGGCCGGGGGAGAGACGATCAGGACCTCTGTCCGGCACTTCGACCCGCAAACCGTGAAGCAGTGGCACCGCGACGAGGCGATCCGCGTGCTGAAGTGAGCTCGATAGTGTAGTCGACGACGCATGCAATTTCGCCGCTAGGCGTTAAGCAAGTCTACTGACGATATGTGCCATGTTGCTTCAGGTTTTTCCGGGCGGCGGTGCTGGCCGAGCTCGGCCGCGATGGCCGGCACTGGGAGTGGCCGAAGCCTTCTGCTGAAGAGGTGGCGGCCAGGCTCGCCGACTTCGATGAACCCGTTCGAGATGTGAGTACCGATCGTTTTACCGTCCTAGCGCGATGCCATCGCCGCCGTCGGTGCTCATCCTTGCTCTCTGCTCTGTTGTTTGCAGAAAATGCGCGACACCGTCCGGGACAGCGACGCAGGCTCTGGCCTCCTATCAATGAGCGCGCTGTGCTGGGTGGTGAAGAGGATGGATCGCCTGACCGGCGACGACCATCGCAGTGCGACCAGCATGGACAAGGTCCTCGTTTCGGGATTGAAGGAGCTGCGGTTTCGGATGATGACATACATCAAGGAACACGTCGCACGCAGACGGTCAGGCCATGTCGGAGTTGGTGCCGATGCCTGTGACGACGACGCCGCGGAGCCCCCTTCGGCATCCCAAGCAGTCGGTGTCGCCGACACCAGCGGAGAGGCCGGAGACGGCGTCGACAAGGCAGATGAGGAGGCAGAAAGGGCTGTGGCGAGGACCGCGGATCAGGAAAAGGAGGAGGAGGAGGATGACACCGACGATCAGGATGATAACAAGGAGGATCGTGAGAAGCGTGAGCAGGGGCATGGGCAGGAGGAGGAGGAGGAGGAGGAGGAGGAGGAGGAGGAGGAGGAGGAGGAGGAGGAGGAGGAGGAGGAGGATGAGGAGGAGGAGGAGGAGGACAAGGAGGCGGCGGCGGCGGAGGCCGTGGAGCAGGGTTTCGGGTCGGTGGAGCAGGTGGCGGAGGGGGAGAAGCAGCAAGAGGGGGAGGAGGAGGTAGAGTTCCCCTGGGTCGAATTCGAGATGGAGGATGTTGAGGGAGCGGCGGCGGTGGCCGTGGAGGGAGCGGCGGCGGCCGTGGAGGGAACGGGTGGGATGTCGGCGGATGTTGTGTACGTGCGAGGGGAGGGTGCCGATGTGGAGAATGTCGGCGTGGAGGAGGCGCACGTGGTCGGCAATGTGGTTGGCGATGCGAAGGAGGAGGATAACGTCGCGGCTTCGACGCCGACGGGCGTGGAGACCACCACAGGGAACGCATGGGTGGAACGCCAGGGTGGAGCGGTAGAGGCGGGCCGTCAACCGGGTTCCTCAGCAGCTGGTCGGCAGGCAACGCCGGCCGTCGTCGCGCAGCTGCGACAGGAGAACATGTGGCTGAGGGCAGAAAATGCTCGTCTCGAGACGGCGCTCGGAGTGGAGAGGGGTCGGGTGGACAGGTTCGCGATGGGGATTGGCCACCTCGTGGACAAGCTCAGGTCGTTGGCCGACCAGGTCACTGCCTCCGACCAGGACGCGTCGAGTCGGCTGATGGACGCGTCCTTGACCATGGCGACGACCGTGACGGAGAACATCACCGCCAACATGGGTGAAGCATGGGATGCGATGAAGGCGTACGCCGAGAGGGCGGAGAGCTGGTTGGACGATCTAGAGAATCCGGAGGGGTTTATGGCGGTGCAACGTGCCAACGCGGTCGTCGCCATGGGCAACCACGTGGACGAAGCAAGGAAGGGATTGGAGGAATACATATCAAAGCACCTAGTCGCCGCGCAGACCAACATCGCCGCCGCGGTAACTCAACGCGTCGCCGTCCCGCCGCCCACGCAGCCCGCCCCACCGCCAGCCTTCCCGGACGAGCTCATGAAGTCTTTCAAGGCGGACGTGTTGAAGGCGGTGACTGAGGCCACCTAGCAGTCGTTTGTTGCGTCCGGGTTAAACCTCATGACCCAGGTGATCGGCCATCTGGCGCCTGGTCGGCATGGGTCGTCGCCGTCGGACAACGAGGCCGACAAGAAGGGTGCGAAAAGGGCGGGCGACGGAGATGATGCGTTGAGCTTGAAGCGGAGCAAGGGAGCCGATGGGAGCCGCGGCGTCGGCCAGGTGGGTCCAGGCGGCTCGCGGAGCAAGGGAGCCGATGGGAGGGGAGGTACGAGCGTGGTCGACCAGCTCAAGAAGAACGGGGCCAAGGTGATAAGGACGCACAGCAAGGGCGATGGAATCAGGAGTGCGGAGGGGGGCCCTGCCGACCAGGTTGCCGCTCAAGAGGCTGGACCAACAGCCCCGCCATTGGTCACCGAGAAGCCGGCCAGTCTAGCGACCGCACCAACGGCGATAGATGGCGGCGCCAAAACCGTGAAGGGACCGTCCGGCGGAGTGGCGGGGACCACGTCGATCCCCCGCAAACCCCCTGCGGCTAGCAGCGCGCCGGTCGCCCCGTCAGCCGCCAACAACGATGGGCCGTCCCTTGCGGCTACTCCAGCACCAGCAGGCACGTCTGCCGCCAAGGTTGACGCGGTGGATGCTGCGGCTAACCGCGCTGGTCCGTCCGCCCCAAAGGCGAACGCGCTCAGGGAGGTGCTCAGCCGCATGGAGACCCATCGACAGGACGTGCAGCAGCCTCCCGTGGTCGGTACCGCGCCGGCCACAACAGCACGTCGCTCGGTCACTCCCCAGGTCGCCGCCACAACGTCCAGTGCCCCACCTACCGCGCCTATCATCGCCGCCCGTCCTCCTGTGGACCCAAAGTCCGCGTTGCTTCGCGCCCGGTTAGGCGCACGTACTGCGGCTGCGCCAGCACGGGCTCAGCCGGTATCCAGCTCATGCGCGACGCCGACGTCGGTGACCGTAGCTGCACACACACTCGGTGCGGCTACTGTCGAGGCGGTGGCGGAGAAGGGCGTGAGTGCAGCGCTAGCCACGGGCGGCAGATCAGTTGACCCTGCACAGGCGGCGAAGGACCACAACGACGCCGATATCGCTGCCATCCAGGACCTGTTGGAAGCGGTAAACCGCCCCAAGCAGCCCCCTGTGCTGGCCATCTTGGACTCGGCGAGTCCCACCGGTTGTACAGCGGAGCCAAAGACGACCACTGCTGCGGTCGGCGCGGGAAAGTCGAAACGGAAGGGGACGGTCGACGCAGGGAAAGCGAGGCCGAGCTCGAAGAAGAAAACACGGGCGACGTCGGCGATGGTGAAGTCGGTGGAGAAAGGACAGGGGATGGCGACGGCGATGGTGGAGAAGGAGGAGGAGGAGGAGATGAAGAAGAAGGAGAAGGAGGAGAAGGAGAAGGAGGAGAAGGAGAAGGAGAAGGAGAAGGAGAAGGAGGAGAAGGAGGAGGAGGAGGAGAAGGGGGAGGAGGCGGAGGTGGGGGAGGAGGAGAAGGAGAAGGAGACGGAGGAGGAGGAGAAGGAGGAGAAGGAAGAGGAGGAGAAGAAGCTGGAGGAGGAGGAGGCGGCGACGGAGGAGGAGAAGGTGAAGGTGAAAGAACGGAAGGGTCATGGCATCCGCCACGACACCATGGGCGACAAGCAAGGGTGGGTGGGCGAGATTAAGGTGGTCGGGAACGAGAGCAGATACATCGGCAAGTCCCGCGACAAGATGGAGCTGGCGTACCTTCACTCGATTGTGTACCTCCTGTACGACGGTTACGTCAGCAAGATCCTCATGGCCGAGCTCACCGGCTTGGAGGAAACAGTGATGAAGCAGTGGAGGGCGGTGTGGAAGGAAGTCCGGTTCTTGCCGACTGGGATGTGGACGGTGATATGGGCACGGGGCGCGTTCCTCCCAAAGACACGGTAAGTCGGATAAACGTCGGCCAAGCTATGATGTCGACGTCGGCGTTCCTAACGGCCAGTTTCGTGTGATTGCGTGACAGGTTCGATGATATCCTCGGGAAGTATCGAGCGTACAAGACATCAGGCGATGCGCACCACGATGCGCTTTTGCCCGCGATCTGGTTCCCCGTCAATGCCGACACGAAGTCGGATGCAATGATGTCGGCCATGATTGATCGCGTGTCCATGTGCGCGGCGTATGGGATGGTCGCTGCATCCGCGGCGAGAATGGAGGGCGACACGGATCAGAAGACGGCGAAGGTCGCACAGGCGCTGTCGGCCTCCGCTTGCGCCCTGTGGTGCTTAGTCGATGGCGACGGCGCCCAGGTGGCTGATGCTGTCCGCGAAGGGAAGGCGGCGGCGATGTTGGTCGGCGCCAGCGAGACTACCGCCGCCGAGTTCAAGAAGGTCATGACGGCGGTTCTGGAGGCCGCGATCAGCAGGCAGCAACCCCTTGGGGAGGTTGCGCACAACGTCGCACCGGCGCTGGAGTCCACCGCTCTGGCCAAAGCCTATCCGGGGTTGGATGTTGAAGCCGAGGCCAAACTGATCGCACGAGCGACGGTGGAAACCCTCGCGTTCTGGGGAATGTGCCCCGTGGATGGGCCGAAACTCAGGAAGATCGGCATCGCGGTGCCGCTTGACGCGCAGATGGAGTACGACATCAAACACAGGGGGAGGAAGAGGCCGAGGGGCAAGCAGGGCAAGGACAGCTCGGGGAAGAAGGGGAAGAAGGGCAGAGCGGGCAAGGACAGCACGGCGGCGTAGTCGGCATAACAATCTGCCATGGGCGGCAGGAGGGAGCGCAAGTAGGTCTTCTTGCTAGGATGGCCTGGTATGGGCGGCGTCGATTATGTAGTTTTCGTTGGGATTTTTCTTCGTTTGATTGTATATTTTTCGTTGGGATTTCTTTTGTTGGCTGTAACTTTTTGGTAGTGCATGTTACTAGAACACTCCTCGGCAAGGTCGACCTGATCTCTACCATGTTACTCAAATGCGGGCCCGGTTCGATGAACCCCGTCGGCGTATAGCAACTCGGCGTCGTACGGTGTCGACATAGTGCGTCTGGCTGTATGCATGTATATACTCGGCGATGAGCCTCGCCGGCTAGGCCGAGATGGTCAATGGTCGGCGCATTGGGGAATGTGCCGCGCCGCCCAGGTGGCCGAAACTCTAGGAGGTCGGCATCGATGTGCCGTTTGACGCGCATATCGAGCGGGCATGGACAGCACGGATGCGTAGTCGGCGCGCGGAGGGAGCGCTAGGGGGTATGATTGCTCGGTTATAGCGTGATCAGCGCCGTTTGCGCCGTTTGCATGCAGTCAGCGATGTTGACATGAATAAGGCACAATGAATTGCACACACATGGTGGCGACTATGTCGGAGTCCGACATATCTGGTTCGGACGTATGTGTTGGATCATGTATGTTCGTGTTGCATCAAAATCAACAAGTACGATGGGAACACCACGGTTTGCTAAATTAGGGCATCATCAACCTACGCTAACACATATACACCGAGGATCTTCATGCCGACTTCTTGCGCTTTGACGGAGGACGCTGCGCAGGTGCGGTCTGCTTGGCCAAGTCGGCCACGGTCTTTGGCATCTGCTCCTCCCAGGTGTCTGGAAACAGGCGGTCGACCCACGTCGTCGGCTTCAGCTCGAGCGCCACCAGCGCACAGGCGAGGCGTAGCTTCGAGACCACCTTGGGGCCAAGCCCCTTGACGCCCATGCCAGGCTCCTTGACGCCCATGCCAGGCTCCTTGGACATCGTCGGTGCCGTCTCCGGGTTGAGCACCGTGAGGGCATCGCAGAAGGTCCCAATGCCCGGTGCCGCGATCGTGTTCAGTGCATCGACCACGGCTTCGGTGTCGGCATCGCCGTCGCTCGCGCGTAGCTGGCGCACCGCATCAATGGCCTTCAGCATGCGGCGCACCCTCATGTTGAGTGCACCCTGGGTCGCGCCTTTGAGGAGGGTGTGGCGGTCGATGAACCCCGGCTCGGCGACCCTGTCGCAAAGACGACGGGTGTCATTGGCGGTGGCGGAGTTCCAGAGGCGCCAAGCGTCCCGCACGGTCTTTGAATCCCGCCAAGGTTGCACCACGTTGAGCTCGTAACTGGCCTCCTCTGCCGTCTGGGGGGGTGGCGGGGGTTTCCCATCATCTCTCTTGGCTCCGGTCCCCGTGTTGGCCGAATCCGCGGAGCCACCCTCGCCCGGAGTTTGATCGGTAGCCGACGGCGGCGCCGCCGGCATCCTCCGGGCTTCTGACACACGGAGTGCCTCGGTGAGTCGAGCAAGCTCGGCGGTGAGCGACGCGATGGTGTCGTTTTGCTTCTCGATCGTCTCCTGAAAGCCTAGCTTCTCGAGCGCCGAGCGCTCGACCTCCTTCTTCAGCGCCTCCTTGAGGGACATGTTGTGATACTGGGTGTCCATGCGCACGGATATATCTGCAATGTTGAGTGTGCGGAAAGGCGACAAGAGGTTAGAATTCACCGGCTAAAATTCAACGACGCCGACATGGTCGGCGACTCACCTCCGGTTGTATCTGAGTCGGGTCCCGGTGCTTTTTGATCGTATCGGTGTCGACCGACTCGACCCTTTTCGCCCAGTGCTGGAAGAGGGCAATCCTGCAGAGCTTGGAACCTTGGACGTACGGGTGCCACGGTGTGCGGACGAGCTTCACCGCGAGGTCCTCGGCGACGATTCGTCGGAACATCACGAGGGTGCGCAAGAAGTGCACTGCGGCTGCATCAGCGTCGCTCCCGTTGACGGCACGCGTCTCCGCCTGCAAGTCGGAAAGTGGCGTGGGTTAGTAGGGAGTTGGGCAGCCAACTAGGCCACGACGACTGAAAAACATTGTCGGCGTCGCGTGACATACATCGCGCAGCATAGCATCCACGCCGGGGAAGATGTGCTCGGCGAGCAGGTCCACGAGTTTGTCGGAGGGCTCGACCCTGCTGCGCCCCAAGAAGTAGTCTTGCTTGAGTCCCGAGTAGCCGGCCTTCTGCATCACCACCCCAACGGGAATGGCCGTGATGTACGCACGCGTCATCTTGTTGAGAGCCCAGTGTCCCAGCTCGGCGATCTGGGCGCGCGGCGTCCCTCCGATGGCTAGCTCCTGCGCACCTCCGGCGCGGGCGGCGTGCACGTTCCTTTTGCAGAACACCTTGTTGGTCCTCCACATCTGCCGAGTCCAACGTTGGTGGGTGGCGGAGGAGAGCTCCTCCTGCTCCTTGTCGTTTCTGGCGAAGAAGAGATGCTTCTTGTACCAGCGTTCGCGTTCTGTGGTGTCAAGCGGCGAAAGGAAGTCGGTGCCGGAGAACTGACCGATCTGGTCGAGGATGAAGTGCAGCCACAGGCCGGTCTCGCCGACGGCGCACAGCTCCGCTTCCAGGTGTCGCGCAGCGTAGCTCTGCTGAAGACGGGCATCCTTGGAAGTCTTCGAGTTACGCGCGGCGATCACCATGACGACCGGCCGGCTATCCGGGTTCACCTCCGAGGTGCTCGCCAGGTGGTACAAGAAGACGTCGGGGAGCGTGATCTCGCGGATGCTGGCGCCGCGCAGGAGAGTGCGGTGGGAGAGTAGCGTGAGCACCTTGATGAGCAGGAATCGCCACAGCGTCTGCGACGGAGTGGTAGCCCGCGGGTTCCACGCCGCCGCCGCCCATGTCGGCAGCACCCTCATCATGATCTGGCGGAACTGCTCGGCGGTGTAGGTATCGCCGATGGTGCCGCGTCGACGGTCGGCGCAGTTCCTGAACGCAAATCGGCGGGGAAAATCTGTAAGACTGCGTCGACTTCACAGTGCACAGTGATATATAATAAGGTTGTCGACCAACTTACTTGATGTCCCTCTCGTTCTTGTGGCGGACGTTGAACCGCACCTCCGATCTCACCACCGAGATCTCCCTCATGATGCCCAGCTCCTTCTCTCGGTACAGCGTCGCCTCCACCCTCGCCGCCATCTGGCATGCCTTTATGCGGCCGAGGATCGTGTGCACAGTTGTCGACCTCACAGGTCCCGTTCGCGTGGCATTGTTCTCCTCCCCGGGCTGGTCAGCAATGAGGTTACACTCACGGCTCATTTGCTTCACGTAGGCGCGCAGCCGGGCTTCGGTGACCTTAGGGCCGTGCAGCCAGATGTACTGTCGGCGGACCACTGTCTCGTTGCACCAATCCTTTTTCTTGTTGTCGCGGATGCAGTGGCCGATCTCGTCGACGTGCCTAAGTCGTTGCTCATGGGGTAGCTTGTCGTGTATCTGCTTCAGCATCTTCGCCGCCCACTTCTTGTAGTGGTAGATGAACGCGGTGTACAGCCTGAGCGTGCTATTCTTCTCCAAGCATTGTAGGTGTCGTAGGGCGTCCATTATGAGCACGTCAATGCTGGAGTACACCATGTCGTCCACTACAAAGTCCGTCGCCTTCCACCCTTCGCGCGGCACCGCCATGTGCTGATTGTCCTCCTTCTCGTCCTCTTCGAGCATGTCACGTATGTATTCAAATTCCCGCCTAAGGCGTTCTTCCAAGGTGCGCGGATTTGTGCTACGAGGAGGACGGTCGTCGACTTCGTCGTCGCTCTCTTCCTCGTCCTCGTCGTCGTCATCACCTTGGTTTTCCGAGCCGGCCGGCACCGACGAAGGTCCAGTCTGCCCATCTGCCGTCGGTGTCGACTTCTTCGTAAACTCCCCAATTGGCGGATTCGGTATGTCGTTGGTGTACTCCCCTTCGAGAATCTGAGTAAGTTTGTCGAGATCGTAAAGCAACTTCAGGGTCTCTACGGGGGCAGAGGACGGACTGTGGTCGGTTGGGGTACCAACGTCGTGTTAAAGTTTAGAAAAGAGAAGAGGGTTGCACTAGCAAGAATGGGGATACAAATAGCAAACCCTAGAAGGGTTGTACTCGCTATAGAGCACCCCACTACAGGCTAGAGCATAAGATAACATTCTGACACACCCCCATAGCCAAAGTGGGGTGTAATTAGCAGAGCAAGCAAAGCAGTACAAGCTCAGGGTGGATCACAATGTCACCACACATTCTGAGCACAAGTTCAAGAAGCAATAGTTTAAGTTCACAATTATGAGCAAAGCTAGTGGTAGTCACAACGGGCAAGTGAGGAGGAGGAGAGAGAGTGAGAGGAGAGGAGATAGGAGGCGACGGCTGAAGCTGCAGACACACGGGCAACAGGAGGCAGACTGGCACAGCGGCTACCGGGCGAAGCCCCCGGAATACTGGAGTAACTGGCCCCGCGGCTAAAGTAGCGGCAGACGAGCAACGGACCCACGGGCGGCTGGCACAGCTGGCTACGACTGGGCTACCGGACGAAGTCCCCGGAATACAGGTGCTGCTGGCGACACGACGGCAACCTCCATGCAGCTTCCCCAAACTATCCCACTCCCCCTGGCACACACCCGCTGCTACACCGCTAGCTCCACTCCCACGCACCCCCCTTAAACCCTAAACCCCAGTCTCCCACACATCCACCCCCCTCAGCGACAGCTGCAGCAGTGGGAGACGAAGGAGGAGGAGGAGCAAAGGGAGGAATGAAGAAGTGCCACCCCCATACGCGCCACCCCCTACTTGCCACCCCCAAACCCTAACACAGGCAGGGTGGGATGGCGGGTAGGCAGGGTGGGATGGCGCCGCTCGCCCCCCTCCCCCAGCGGCCTCCGAGGGTCGCCTCGACAGGCGACGGGAAAAGGGGTCGGGGCGCAAGTAGGGCGGCGGGGCCGCAGGTGTAGGGCGGCCGGGCCGCGAAGTTTGGGCGGCGGGGCCGCGACAGAAGGGCGGCGGGGCCCCGAAGTGGGGCGGCGGGGCCGCGAACGTAGGGTGGCGGGGCCGCGAAATGGGGCAGCGGGGCCGCGAAGTGGGTTGGCGGGGCCGCGACGGGTCCCCGTCGCCCGTCGCGACGCCACCAGAGGGCGACGCGGTGAACGACGGGGCAGAAGCCCGCCGCGCGCCTCGGGGCGCACAGCGGGCAGAGAACCGCCGCGCACCTCGGGGCGCACGACGGGCAGAAAACCGCTGCGCGCCTCGGGGCGCACGGCGGGCAGAAAACCGCCGCGCGCCTCGGGGCGCACGGCGGGAAGAAAAAGTTGCAGCGGAAGCGAGGAGGTGGTAACCCACCCACAGGATCGATCCAATGGGATGGACCTGCTCTGATAGCATGATAAAGTTTAGAAAATAGAAGAGGGTTGCACTAGCAAGAAGGGTTGTACTCGCTATAGAGCACCCCACTACAGGCTAGAGCATAAGATAACATTGTGACACGTCGGGCATGTCGACGTCGTCCATGACCGCTCGTATGCTCTACCGCCGGCCGTGGAAGAGGGAAAGATTGGTAAACCAGAGACGGAAGTGATTCACGTCGACGCCTTAGTGCCGACCTAAGTCTATTCCAGGTCGACGCCTGAGTGCCGCCGCTGGGTCGACTCGGCCGTCGAGTAACCTAGACCCGCAGAGACAGCGGGGGTTCTGTGAAGAAAGCGAAGTGCCAGATGGCGCACAGGAGCATGAGAGAAACACGAAGCTGAACAGGCAGAATGAGAGCGTTGTGCATGGTCAAAGAGGGGTATGGTTGCGGGCCACTGCGGACCCGCCGCGCTCCACGCAACCCTCTTTGCAAGCGCCGCAGTGCACGTGCATGAGTGTCACGATCGATGCATGTCTATTGTCACGCCGCTTTGCGCTCAACGGCACTCCCGCCGGTGCCTTGCCACGGTGGAATTCACGTGCGCCACGTGCAATAGGCCAATCACCTAGTTCCACTCTCCCGAAATGCCGTAGCGTCCTGCTCTCCCGCGCAAACCTCATCGACCTACGAGTAGGCGCGTGGCCGGAGGCTTGGTCGACGCCGACATTCCCTGAGTCTGGGGCTCTCTTCGCCTATGCATTGTTTGGTCCGCACAGAACCATCCGCGTGGGTCGTGCTGCTGCGGTTGGATCTTCGGGCGACACCGACATCTCAATAACCCGCGTTCTCTGGCTGTCTAGGTGGTGGACACATGCCAGTCGTCTTTCGTCGCGTGGACGATGGTTACATTTTTCGTCGGCGCGCCAAGTTTCGCGCGCAGCGAAATATGCCCGGTGGTGCGAAGCGGGGCCACGTCGGCGCCGTCGTGGCACCTCCCGATTGTCAGGCTCGATCTCGGCCGTCCCTACTAAGCCACGTGGCCGTAATCGCGGCTCAGCGCACAATGTGTCAAAGCTGCTCGCCTGTCTTCTTGACCCCTCTTGGCCGCTAGAGGCAAATGCCTCTAGCGTTACACCCGCACACCACGTTGAGGTGAGGGTCATTCGTGCGGGATCTGTTTGGGAGGGGGGTGTCAGAACATATCTATAGCTTATACTGCTGTGTAGGCTGTAGTGGGGTATCCCATAGGGGGTACAACCCAGTTAGGGTTTCATATTTGTACTGCTTTCATTCATAGTTCATTCATTCCTGTTTTCCTATTTTCACATGGTATAGAGCGGGTCCTACCTTAGGACCGTTGTTTGGGCCCACCGACGCGCGCCCCGAGGCGCGCCTTTCTTTTAGCGACCCCTCGGGTCGCCTTTTCACTCGCGGCCCCGCCGCCTCCTCTGACGCGGCTTTGCCGCCTCCCCTGACGCGGCCCAGCCGCCTCCCTTGACGCGGCCCCGCCGCCTCTTTTAACGCGGCCCCGCCGCCTCCCTTGACGCTGCCCCGCCGCCTCCCTTGACGCGGCCTCGCCGCCTCCCCTGACGCGGCCCCGCCGCCTCCCCTGACGCGGCCCTGCCGCCTCCCTTGACGCGGCCCCGCCGCCTCCCTTGACGCGGCCCCGCCGCCTCCCCTGACGCGGCCCCGCCGCCTCCCCTGACGAGGCCCCGCCGCCTCCCCTGACGCGACTCCGCCCGGTAGACCCCCTCCCCCCTCAGGTTCCTGCCCCCTCAGGTGTGTCCCAGGTAGACGCCGTTGACCCGGTCGAGGTTACTGGTGACTCTGGTGCTGCTGCGGGTGCTGAGCCTGGGGGTGCTGACTCTGGGGGTGCTGTGCGCGGGGGTGCTGAGCCTGGGGGTGCTACTGCTGGGGGTGCTGGGCCTGAGGGTGCTACTGCGGAGGGTGCGGAGCCTGGGGGTGCTGAGCCGGGGGGTGCTGTGCCTGGAGGTGCTGGGTCTGGGGGTGCTGGGTCGGGAGCTGCTGAGCCTGGGGGTGCTGAGCTGGGAGCTGCTGAGCCTGGGGGTGCTGCGTCTGGAGCTGCTGAGCCTGGGGTTTCTCCTGCTGCTGCGTCTCGCCGGGAGCCCCTCTCTCCACAGGAGCTGCGCGAGTGGTTCGCTCGCCGCTGGAGGCGTGCTGCTGAGTCTGGAGGTGCTACTGGAGCTGGAGCTGGAGCTTCTTCGACCGTCGAGGGTGCGGGTGCAGCCGGTCCCGGAGCTGCTGGCCCTGCAGGTCCTCCTGGAGCTGGAGCTGCTGAGGGCGTTCGTGCTGAGCCTGCTGCTGTTGGTCCTGCCGCTGGAGGTGTGGGTGGCGCTGGTGCTGTCGCTGAGGGTGCTGGTGCTGTCCCTGCTGAGTCTGGAGCTGCCGCGCGGCCTCGGCCGTACTTCGTTCCGCTCCTTCAGCAGGTTCTTGGTCTTTCTCCTCCAGTAGAGGGTCCACCGCCTGTCCAGTCGCAGCCCCTACTGGAGCCTTCCTCTCCACTGCCTGCTCCCTCTCATTACACTGGTCCTACTGGAGGTCTTGCTGAGCGTCGTGAGCCTGCGTCTCGTCCCGCGTCGCCTGTTCGTGCTGCTCGCGCTAGTGGTCGCAGTTCGCGTCAGCGTCCTCCTCCTGTCCCTGGCACGCACCGGATGTCTTTACGTCCGTCCACTGCTCCTCTGCGTGCCCCTTTGCCTTCTCCTCCTGAGTCCTCTCTTCCTGCGCTTGCGGACCCTGAGTCGGACTCTCTTCGTGCTGCCAGTCCCACTGTCACGCGTCTGCTTGCTACTGTCGTCACTGACCCCTCTTTTGAGTCCACTGCTGCGTCTGCTCTAGTCGCTGAGCTCGTCGACTTTGCTGCTCGCTGTCGTCTCGACTACGCTGCTAGTCTTGTTGCTGAGTCTGCGTCTGTCTGTCCTCCGTCCGTCGGGGGTGAGTGTGCTCTTGGCACGGACGTCCTAGAGGACAGGCAGGAGGAGTTACAGTGTCTAGCGGCTGCTTCACCTCATCTCGCGTCTGTACTGCTTGCCCCTGAGGGAGACCCGGATGCACTAGACATCCCGACTCCGCGTTCTTACGCGGAGGCCGTAGAGGGTCCCTACTCCTCTCAGTGGCAGGCAGCTATGGATGCAGAGATGGCTTCCTGGAAGTCCACAGGCACCTACGTTGACGCGGTTCCCCCTCCTGGGGCGAACATCGTCAGTGGCATGTGGATCTTCAGGGTGAAGCGGCCGCCGGGCTCTCCACCTGTCTTCAAGGCACGGTACGTTGCTCGTGGCTTCAGTCAGCGGCAGGGAGTTGACTACTTTCAGACCTTCTCTCCCACCCCGAAGATGACTACTCTTCGGGTGCTGCTGCACATAGCCGCTCAGCGCGACTACGAGCTTCACTCTCTCGACTTCAGCACTGCGTTCTTGCAGGGTAGCCTGCACGAGGAGATCTGGCTTCGCCGTCCACCTGGCTTCACTGGGACTTTCCCTCCTGGCACCCAGTGGAGCCTCCGACGGCCAGTCTACGGTCTCCGCCAGGCACCGCGTGAGTGGCACGACACACTGAGGACTACGCTTGCGGCTCTTGGGTTTGCTCCTTCTACTGCTGACCCGTCGCTGTTTCTTCGCACCGACACTTCCCTGCCGCCGTTCTACATCCTCGTGTACGTCGACGACCTGGTCTTTGCCACAGCGGACACTGCTGGACTCGCCTACGTGAAGTCCGAGCTGTTGAAGAGACACACGTGCACAGACCTGGGTGAACTGCGCAGCTACCTTGGCTTGCAGATCACTCGGGACAGAGCACGCCGCACCATTACCTTGACTCAGTCACACATGGTGCAGCAGGTCCTTCAGCGCTTCGGCTTCACGTACTCCTCGCCTCAGGCCACTCCTCTGCCTACTCGCCACTCACTCTCAGCTCTGCCTTCGGATGAGTCCGTAGAGTCGAGTGGTCCGTATGCGGAGCTTGTTGGCTGCCTCATGTACCTGATGACCTGCACACGACCTGACCTTGCATACCCTCTGAGCATTCTTGCACGCTATGTTGCTCCTGGGAGACACAGACCGGAGCACATGGCTGCAGCGAAGAGGGTATTGCGCTACCTGTGCAGTACGTCAGGCATGGGGCTAGTGCTTGGAGGGCGGAGTCCAGTGGTCCTTACCGGCCACGCGGACGCTTCTTGGGCTGACGACCAGGCTACGCAGCGGTCGTCACAGGGTTACACCTTCAGCCTTGGTTCCGGCTCTGTCTCGTGGCGGTCTACTCGCTCGTCTTCGGTTCTCGGCTCCAGTTGTGAGGCTGAGATCTACGCCGGGGCCATGGCTGCACAGGAGCTTCGCTGGCTCACCTACCTGCTGACTGACCTTGGAGAGCCGCCTCGTTCTCCTCCAGTGCTGTACGTAGACAACAAGGCTATGCTGGCCTTGTGTCGAGAGCAGCGCTTGGAGCACAGAA